CTGCATCACTCACAATTTTCTGACTTCCTTTATTTCCATTCAAAGCATATGAAACATTTTTAGTCCTGTTGTTTGTAGTTACATCACATCTGCTTGTCTTTGAAGACCTAAAAGAGAACATGGAACTTATCATATGAATGATACCTTCATATCTTTCCACAGAAAAATATTACATATAATACAACTGACAGATATATACATGACAAGCAAAAACTATGCCCAACATTTTACAGTACATATAACACAAGAAAAAGTAATAACCTGTGATCTGCTTAAACATATTTAAAATATGATATGAAACAACTAAATATCTAAGATTCAAATAAAGCATGCCTGAATACAGACATTAAAGTCTCCATGTTGCCATAGATGACTTTTACTTGAAACTAAAAGCCGATTTAGTTATTTATTTATTACAAGAAAATTATTACTGTTATGTATGATAAATGTTGCCTATGATGAGCAGTACCCATATATGTATAAATATTTGACTTATATAAGGTTAGCACTCATGTGATAGTAATACAAGATTTTCACTTCCAGTGATGGTCTCACTAAAATGAAAGATGTAGTGGCAGATCTGTCATGAATCATCATACACATAAAGAGCAATCATACAGTGTTAAATATTTTTATTTAAAAGGGATGAACATGACAATTACAAAAGGATCTAAAAATTACATAAAACATGTCAGTTCTTTGATGAAAATATGTTTATGTAGATGGGAGAAGGTAAATAATTTTAATATCAGTTTATTTACCCCTGGGGAAACTCAATGTTTTACTGTTCCTCAGTATGAGAAAAGTCATGATTGTTTTATTTCAAGCTTTGGTATTCTATCTCTTAGATAGGATCTGAGGCATTCTGCAGGTTTTCCTTTGATGCCATAATAATGTAATTTATCTGTGGCCAATATGTTGTTAGTATGCACATTATGACAATATTACATAAACTTATCAAGTACTTTAGAAAAAGAAGTTAACTGTGGAACTGGCCCTTAGCTTGCCATACTCCTTCTGACACCTTTCTTGTACAGTGGTCTCACTGCTAACATTCTAAGGCTGTCTAAAAACATTTCCAGTGTATAGTGAGTGATTACAAATGTGGCTAACTGGTACCTAATAAAAGCTGAACAAGCTTTTGGAACTGAATTTGTTATTTCTTCATAACCTGATGAGTTTCTGATTTGAGGGACTGTATTTTTATTTCTATCTCAGTTTCTGTGGTTGGAATAATTTTAATACCTGGAAATTTGACTGGAAATGCACCAAGTATTAGTTGGGAAGCCTGACGGGAAGAGACCGCTGGGAAGACCTAGACGTAGATGGGAGGGTAATGTCAGGCGGGATCTATGGGAGATAGGAGTTGAAGGGGGCTGGATTTTGTTGGCCCAGGACAGGGTCCGATGGAGGGCTTTGGTTAATTCGGTGATGAACCTTCGGGTTCGGTAAGCCATCTAGCTAGTTAGTTAGTTATAGTATTTTCTCCCTCAATTTATGTAAATCTAAACTTTTTGTATTTGTTAGAAAAAAGTTATTGGTGGCATTAGCAACAACTCCAGAGTAAATGGTTCAACAGTATGCTTAGTATAACACATCAGCTGGACCATGGGTACGATAATTTCGAAATTTAAGGTATCTAACTGGTTACGGAACAATTAATTTACTTGTCATCACATCACACTGATGCACCATATTAATGATAAAAGCATGTCGGACAAACTCACCAAACTTCAAAAACATGATCAATATTTCTCAGTAAATTCATATTCAAGTATTACAGAATGACAAAGTTGTAATTTTAATTTGTCTGACTGTAATTTGGCAACAAAACTTGAGTTATTAATATGTGTAAGACAATGAAACAAGAGAAAATATTCTAAAAATCACACACATAAAATCCAGAAATACAAATTTGACTTTACACTAAAATTACAAGAGAGCTCTAGTAAACAGCCAATAAACACCACCCCCCCACCCACATGCAAACACACCGGATAATTCATAGCTCTAGTGCAAAACTTAAGATTGCTGTTTTGAAGATCATTTTCAGCACAAAATGCAAATAAAGATTTTTGAGATTTGCCATTTTTTAAATGTTCCAATGATTTTACACTGATGCCACTTCTATTATTGACATTATCAAGTTTTAGACAATAAAAACAATTAGCCTTAACATGTGAACTAATTTCCTTGTTTGCAAAAGAAAGAAAGCAAATTCTGCCATTTGTAGCATTTTTAAATTATCCCTTCTGAGTACTTACTTTAAGCACTTTTCTGTTCATGTAGTGGGGACTGTGGATATGCCAGACTTATTACTGGTTCTACTGTCACAGTCAGATACCTCTGCTTCAACTATTTATACTTCATACACTCTCAGTGCACAGCCACCATCAAACAATCACACAAACAATAATACAAAGTGATGTCAATGTTATAACACCATAACTCAGAAATGGTGGTGAATATGAGTAAAAAAGTTATTTGCATTTCCTGCTCCATATGATATCCACCTCCTTAAATATTTTATAAGAGCTTTAAATCACCCCCTCCCCTCTCTGTCCTGCGTGTGAGGCAGAAAGAGATATAATCTCATGTAAATTAATGCATGTTTCATTATGTTATGAATAAAACATATGTGATGAATAATGCATAAAAGAAATAAATCAACAGTACAGTACTCCACTTCAACACTGCATTTCTCAGCTTGAGCTTTTAATGTTGCATAGAGTACTATCACATTTGTCTTAGCAGCATGAAAACTTTAAATATTCCACACACAATTTCCCAGGCAAACTTTATTTCAAACAATCATATTTTGTTAACTAACAAAGATGCAGAAATACAACCAAAACATTATGAAGACATGAAAACACATCATTTATAATCATAAAGCCATTACTTTTGATCACGTATAATGTTGTTTTCAAAATAAAAATGTAACTGAGTTACGTGTCTGAAGTCAAACAAATAGTCTATAACTGATTCTCAGAATGGCAGATGCTGACTTTGCACAGGATATGAAATAAGCCTTTCACTTTTCTTCATATCCTGTGCATGGTTTGACTAATGAAGACCATAAGCATACCTTAGAGAACAAAGCTGCATTCCAGGTTGAGTTTTTGAACCTCAGAACTCATTACTATGAAGCAAAGGAGCCAACCATTCATTCACCATTCCATAGGATAATGTTATATAGTTAATATGTAAAAATAAGTTTAAAGCAGTTAAGTGATGAATCTGCAGTTACAATGTGTAATGTGAGAGTCAAAATGCATATTGTAAGACCAGTCTTCACTTTCTGCTGTATCACAATTCATTTTTCAAACGCATTAGTATATTCTGGTAAATCATGTGTAGATTCAAAATGAAATCCATTGAATGTAATTTATTCTCCCGTCATGTAGACATTCTATTCCAGGTATTTATTACTTTTTGGGACATACTACCAGAAATATATATCATTCACAGTCAAATTGCACATACAGTGGTAGAATGTGGACTGGATACACTGGAGGGATAAAAAAAACTTACAATGTTCCATAACTTGTAGCAATCCATACTTGTTCAGTCAGCCTAACTTTTGTTATTTTGTATATAGTATTGTATAAAGAAATTTGTAAATGATGTACTGAAAAGGATGGGGAAGGCAGTGGTAATAGCCAAATTGAAGCCATTATCCCAGCATGTGCCTGGAAACAAGTAAGGAACAAAACAAAACAATCCTGACAGCTGGCCTCCGGGTCCATGCATGCACATACACACAGGCTCATCATCAAAATTTTTATTCAACATGTGTTATGTTTTGTTTTTGTATGTTTGCACTGTTAGAGGGCAAGAATTTGTATTCACATATATATTTATGGAAACATATAGTTTCACAATCCTTGTGAGGCAAACTTTTGTGGTGTGCTATCATGTGTCTTTGACAAATTAGGGTGCAGCACAGGTTAAAAAGTTTGTCAAACACTGTCACAGAGGATGTGTTCAATGCCTAATTCATAATGCCAAAGTGTATGTTCTTGTATTCATTCAGCTGAAACAAATGTCTGCAGACCATAATGTAAATTACAAGAATATGGATGACGCCAGTGTACTGAATGCTCACGGGCTCTTTACCCTGGTAATCATTCAGTTACTGCGCATTTCACAAATAAACATCCCTTGGAGCCAAGTCGGACTGCATGTGAAATTTTTTTATCACATACAGCACATAACTGTGGTTTCAGTTGAACAGTATTTTATTCTATATAACCTGATCTTTGCTGATGTCATCACATTATCACTGCATCACTTGCAGCACCATCATTTTAAAATGACTGGACACAAATATATCTCTTTTCAACAAGGCTACATTTTTTCATGTCCTCACACAAACAGTGTTACTGACACCACTGTCACAGTCTGACTCGATAGGGTCGGTGGTGCAGATATATATGGAAGAATGTATACAGAAGCATGTTTTTCTATCTCTTTAACATACCAGACCAAGCTATGGTCACCCAACTCTCCCTGTGCTCCTTCTAGGAATGATTTCAGCTGTTTAGTCCAGTTTGTCACTTGCAGACCAAGCTATGTCAGTTCCCTATTATTACAGCTCAATGGTAAATCAACAACCAATAAAAACAATAAAAGAGACCAGTCAGTAATGACATTAAGATATTTGTAACTATACATAAAGATTAAAATTTCAGACCGTGCAAAGTCTACGAGCTGATATCAAAAGTGATTGTTACTACCTTTTACTTGCATTAAATCTTGTAAAATATTAACCACTCTAACAATTCCAAACCCAAGTAGAAATCAATAAAAAGAGACTATTTAAATATGTGACCACTTTATTGCAAAATAAAACAAAGTAACATTCTGCTCTGAAACTACTGATATCAGATATTCTTACAACAAAATACCAACTCTGTTCATTATTATGTAACCCACATCAAAGCTCTTTAACAAAGTGCTTTCAGTTTATCATCCTGTGACAATCTTTTACACAAAGCATGATGAAAATTAAAACACAACATCCTCCACAAAAAGCACTAACATAACTCTAAACAAGACATTCCTAAAAATGGCTAACATCACTTATCTACTGACAGAGTCTGCAATGATGTGGATTAAACCAATATTCAGATGTATGTCTACACAACATACATTATTCAGATCACGTGAACTACATCTAACAAAGTCATTAAGAACAAACACTGGACTTTGGGAACAATCGCTTTATTCCTGAAGACATTGCATAAATATCTGGTCCAATAGCAATTTCATACATACCAAACTGACTTACAAACTCATCTGGACTGCATTCTGTCATGCTTTGTCTAAATGCCTGAAGAAAGTTCAAATCGTTTGACTCCATTCACTGCATCAGCAGGACAACAACTTCTGAATTTGCCCCTAATTATGATCCATCCACTTACAGAGAACTAGAATACTGCATGATATATATTCCAAGCCATAAACTTATAATCATATGAGTAAGACCAAAAACCTCTAGGCACCTGGAGAAACCCAGTTACTCTTTAGAAATAAAAGTTTACAATATTGTGCTGCTTGTATTTTTAATATAAATGAGTCTTGAAATACAGGTTCTCATACACAAACTGTGTTCTGGTGCATTTTAAGTTGGGTTTTAGTCACAAAGCCTTTATTGCAAAGTAGGCAATGGTAAGGTCTCTGTCCAGTGTGATAACGTTTGTGAACAATGAGACTTGATTGTTGTGTGTATGATTTACCACATTCATCACATCTGTGGTGTTTTTCCCTTGTGTGCACACACATATGCATTCTCAGGCTTGATTTTTTTCCAAATGCCTTAGCACAGACATCACATACAAAAGGTTTTTCACCTGTGTGAACTCGTTTGTGTGCCTCTAGTTGATGATTGGTCCTGAATGACCTGCCACAAATGTCACAGAGAAAAGTACGATTCCCTCCTGTATGGGAACCCATGTGTAGAAGCAAAGTTTTTTTGTGTTTTAACACTCTGCCACAAAATTCACACTCATGGCCCTCAAATGACTTAGTGCTGCCATCTTTCTGCACTTCTGGGTGAGTAGTTCGTTTGTGACGAGTTAAGTAATGCTTGTAAAAAAATGCCTTCCCGCATATATTACATGAAAATGGCTGATTTCTTGAGTGAAAGTTCATGTGTGTCTTGAGTTGATGCTTCTCATGAAAACCCTTACCACAAACATCACAATGATATCTGAAATCATGTAGATGTTTGTTTTCATGTGCCTTCAGAGCTGATTTAAATGCTGCTGCATAACCACATATATTGCAAATATGATTCTTAATGCCAGAATGTACTATCTTATGGTGGGAATTCAGCTGGTAAGTGAATTTGAAAGTCTTGTTGCAGATGTCACAAGTAAATAGTCTTTCTTTATGTGACCGTTTGTGTCGTCTCAGCTTATCTGATGTCAACAAAACTTTACCACATATATCACACAAAAAGTTATGTGTCTTTAAGTGTAAATCAAGTGTTGATTCCTTGTCAAATATTTTACCACATATAAAACATATTTGGCGCTGATCACCTGGAAGAACTGTTGCATCACCTAATGGTAGGTTTTCAGATGTGGTATTCCCTGCACTGTTTTCTGCGGGGTCATTTTTGAGTGAATCACCACAATAATCAGTTCTATTGTTACTGTTAAGCCTTGTTTTATCCAGCTTAACTATCATACAACCCAATGTTGTTGGTAGCAGAGCAAATTTCTGGTGCTGATTAAATGTGCCCAATTTCTCAGTAGTGGTACCCTCGCCTAATTTTACATAAGGATCAACACTTTCTTTTCCAGCATTTGCAACAGCATTGCATCTCACAGTCTCATCACCAGCATTACTTTTGAGTGTATCACCAGAAGCACTTGCCTTCCTTTCAATGCTTGTAACTGTGTTACTTTTGACATCCTCACTGGAAACATGTGATTTTCCCCCAATGATTGCAACCAGATTACTATTAAGTGTATTGCAACGAACATAACTTCCTCCAACATAACTTTCTGTATTATTACTTCTCTCAGGGGCTGCATCAAAAATGTAATTATTTACATCAATCCTTGGTGGTGACACACTTCTTGTCTCTCCTTTTATAAGCATTGTCTTTCTTTGCACTGCTGGTATTGTAACATTCTGTGGCCAATTCAACACACTCAAATCTGCAGTAGTGTCACTTTTCTTGGTCAGTTTATCACACATGTAACTCTTCTGCCTATCATTTCCAATAGACTTACCACTGACTACCTCACCACAATAGATGATTTCTTCATCGTCTGAAATAGCATCACTTTTAATTAAAGTTTCACCATCATTGAAACTACTTTCTCCACTGATGGTAACTGAGGTACATTTTAGAGTCTTTGCATAAATATCATTCTCCTCATCATTGTTTGGTAGCGATATATTACTTACTTCTCTCCGCTGTGCTGGCACTAAAGAAAAGTTATGGGGATGCTTCAATTGACTCAAGTTTCTAGTAGCATTAATTTTCTTATTAAATTCATCACATATAAGACTCTTCTGTCCACTGTTTAAAACAAAGTTATTTCTGGGTGCCTGACTAGAAAAATAACCTCCTCCCATATTTGCATTGACATCTGTTTTCAATTTTTCACTAAAATTGTAAGGTTCTTCTTTGTTTGTGGTAACACTGTTACATTTGAGTATCCCCCCACACATATAACTGGTTTCTCCAATGTTTGCAGTACTGTTACTATCATTTTTTCCCCTACTATCACACAAATTAGCATTTCTTTTATCTCCCACCACAACCATCATCACCAATCCCTGCAATGTTGGCACCAGAAAAACTTTCTGCTGCTGGTTCAAATAACTTGTTGCTCCCTCTCTTATGACATCAGATCCACTATCTTTTGTAGATCTAGAAAAGAAGAGAAAAGTTCTCTTAGAATTTGAACAGAACTTCGAAGTTGCATAAGAGTACACACACATCACAGCATGTATCCAAGAAAAGTTTGTTCATTTAACTGGAATGTAATACACAAGCATAATAACTAAATTAATATAAATTACACCAGTTTAGCTGAGTCTTACTTGACAATTTGGAAACACCACTACTGTGAACACTTATGTTCATCTATGGTCATTCAACATTTTCACTGCCAAATCAAACTTTTCTTTACCTGAAAAGCTTTGATACTGAACAGCACAGAAAAATCAACATATAGCATTAGCTATAAATTGAGGTTATTTTATGTCATTTGTATGACTATGCATTACCAAATGCTTTTAGGGAGGCAGCATATATTTTCCTTCTCCCTTAACATATAGGACTTGTAGAATTCTGTTTCCCTTTAAAAGCATTATGTCCTATCATTCCCACACTGGCCACACTGTTTCCTGTGATAAATAAATGTGTAAAGGTTTTGTGTCTTATGAGTACATCTTTTTTTGCTAATATCCTGCTGTTGCTTTGACACAATGGAGTGATATTACTGCATGTGTTGTTTCTAGTTCTCAATAAAAAAATATATCTCATATATCAATGCTCATAATAATGAGTGGTGCAAGAAATGTTACCCAAATGTCAGTTTAAATAACAGTATGATCTGGAGCTTTAATGGATAATAAGTATAATAAATTAAAGAATGTTGTTGTCTGCTGGGTTATTGCGCCATGTACAGAAGATAGCAATCTTCAGACTCACCAATGTGAAAACCTAAAATCCTAACTAACTAACTAGATGGCTTACCGAACCCGAAGGTTCATCACCAAATTAACCAAAGCCCTCCACCGGACCCTGTCCTGAGCCAACAAAATCCAGTTTCCTTCAACTCCTATCTCCCATAGATCCCACCTGAGATTATCCTCCCATCTACGTCTAGGTCTCCCCAGCGGTCTCTTCCCTTCAGGTTTCCCAACCAGTACCCGGTGCACACCTCTTGTCCCATCCATGCGCGCTACATGTCCCGCCCATCTCCCTCTTCTCGACTTAATGACCCTCACAATACTGGGGGAGCAGTACAGATTTTTAAGCTCGTCATTGTAAAATTCTATATAATAAATTATTTTCAGGCTACCAGAAATGCCAGGTGGGTTTTTTTAACCTTTCAACCAACTAACATGGCTAGCAGCCCGAGAAGAATTTATTGAAATAACAGCTACAATACCCATATAATGGCATATGTATCCACTAACACATAGAATAATTCTTGGAGATTTTTCCTTTGTGGATCATATGCTCAATTTGACCACCGTTCTGTCGTGCAACTTCCAAAATACTAACGGCTACGTTTGTGATCATTGGACGGCACATGTTCCATAATTTCACCACACATTTGAACAATAAAAGCTCTCAGTTGCACAATGAGGCTTTTCCTTTAAGGTACACCAAAGGATAAAGTCACAGGGGTTAATGTCCAGGCTATTGGGTGGCCACTTCTGTCAGCATCCATAATGATCATAATATCAATGGGAAATCACACGTGGACCAAAAGTGCCTTGCAGGAAGCCCTAGACAACATCTGCTATTTGGTGCAGTCCCAAACCACAGTGTATTTAACAGCAAACCATTTGTGATAAGCTGAGGGACAAAACTGCTGTTCAGCATGCTCAGATACTGCTCGCTATTCACAGTATGGTCAAACTATATCGGTCTGATGAGTCCATAGTTGGAGATGACATCTCAAACAGGAATTTTCGGTGCATGAAGCATTTCCTTGGTGAGCACGAGGATTTTCTGAAGACCAAAAGTGCACATTTTGCTTGTTGACAACGCCATCCAAGTGAAAACGTGCTTCACCTGAAAACCATACATTGTGCATTGTGACTTCTTCATGCACTGTCCATGCAGCAAACTCCAGTCCGAGTTGTTTATCATGACCGGTTAGTTCATGCATCACTGTCATTTGAACTGATACAGATGCAAATCATTGGGCAAAATTCACCGCTCTGGTCGTTTGGATATTCTGAATTCTGCCGCGACCTTCCAGGGCTTCTTTATATGGCTGCTCTGACAGCTGCAATATTCTGTGGGCTATGCACATTTGCATTTCTTTTCCTACATTGTATACCATCCTGTTGAAACTGCTGATGAAGCTTGTGAATAGTTTTTGGAGCAGGGGCCCACTGAGTACCACAATGGGCACAAAAATCTCTGCGTTTACACAACACTTTTTGTTGCTGTAAAATAACACAACTGTTTGCATTCTCTTCTTGATCATATGTATTTCCTCATCTGCCATTTTCTGCATACTAGCTCAGAACTGCTAGCTAATCACTTGGTGACATTAACTACGGTGCATGATCTTTAATCATTACTCTGATATGAAGAATATGCCACTATCAAAATATAGGTCAATCGGGTTAAGGTTTGTTTGATTTATTCAATGTATTGACAGTCCAGCTCAGTCAATTACCACAGAAGAATCAAACAAACATTTAGAATGCATCAGTCTTGAAACTTCAATCATTTTCTAGGTCCTCTGTAAAGAAATCTAGCCATATTTTATAGTGAAAATACCAGCATATGTTACTACTGTTTTATTAATTAATGTTACATCTTTAAATCACAAGAACTCTGCAATACAGAAATGATAAAATCACCATACTAATATAAACCACAATATTTATAGGACACACTTATGTAATTAATATACAGAAATAAATTAAACACTAGTATGATCAATATATTCGTATGAAAACTGAAGTTACAATACAAGTAAGAGAACTAATACCATCTTAAAACTTGCAAATTCACTGAAGGTCCCAATGTATGAATTTGAGCGCTGTCAAGAGGGCACACAATCAAAGACTTGGCATACCAACATTACTGGTTATTTCCTATGTACAGAAAATAAAGATTTTTAGGAATTGGGGGGATGGGAGGGGGGTGTTATGCCACGAAATCCATTTACCTTGTGGATCTTTTATGTTGTAAAGTTAACAGATACACCTGCAGCACAAATTTAGAAGTATCTTTAGCTGTCCTACTGAAGTACAGACTAACCAAATTTCAAACAAAAAATGCCAGGATACTTATGATTTTTGACAGTGTATTGAACCTGATGATGGAAGAGGTGAAAAGGCCTTGAAAAGAAACTAGCCAGCATGAAGAAACTGAAGAGAACTATGAGACTGATAAAATACAATAGCATGCCCAACAGCCAAACACGAAAAAGACAGATACTATAAAATAATGATTTCATAGAAAATGCTCTGAGACTGAACACATGATCCTAATTTTTAACTGTAACTGCAAAATGGTGTATGACTCAATTCAAACTTAACACTTCTTTGTAGTTTGTGCAGTCTCATAATTGAATTTTAAAAATGTGGGAACTAATGCAAAATTTAAAAGATATTAACCCTTTGCAGTCAAAGTTCTTCTAAATAATATTAAGAATTTAGTCTGTGCATAAAAGGAAATACACGTTCCCATTATGAAGACTTCTTAAGCATCATAGTTAATGCTGCTTAAGAAAATAATCCCTTTTTACATAAAGAATCATACAGAACCCATTAATACAAAAAGTAATTACTTATGTTTGAAGAAGCTGGTACAAAGCATTAAAACGTCTTTTTAAGGGTTAACATCCGAATTCAAAATTCACGAAATTTAAAAACCTGGATAGTTGATCATCCTGAAAACCTTTAATGATACACAAGGAACACCATACATAAATGTAGGGCTGTACCACAATCTATGGGATATGTGGTCACCCTATTCTAATTCCCTAATTAGGAATTTCAGAAACTTCATTTTCTGTGAAGCACATCTCAGTACTAATATCCTGATCACATGACACATCAACACTGCATGTGCAGCAACAAAGAACAATACCAAAGTATCCATCCTAAATACAGCATTCATGTCCTGTAGACAGCACAGCCAAATGTCCTATTTATTCTAGCAAATATTAATGAACAAGTGCATTTAACTGAATCTACATGGTTTGACATTGAAGTAAAATCTGGTATCCCTGATAGAAAGTTGTATGAAAAGCTTTTCTATATTGCAAACTGAATGTGTAGAAATTCTAAGAAAGGCTCTCAGGCACACACACCCTTCTGAACCTTATGAATTACTACCTGTCTCTAAAATACATCATACCAAGTTATCAGCTTTTTTAACTTTGCATGACTTTTTGTGAACTGTGAGAAGGGCCTGACAAATAAATTCATGCTCACACCACTCACACTGGTATGGTCTCTGCCCTGTGTGGAGCCGTCTGTGTATCGTGAGAGTGGCATGTTGAGTAAAAGCCTTGCCACATATCTCACATTTGAATGGACGCTCCCCTGTGTGAACACGGCGATGCTGTTTAAGGTTGCAACTCTTAATAAATGCCTTTCCACATACATCACATACATTAGTCTTTTCACCTGTGTGAATTCTGCAGTGGAATTTGAGATGTTCCTTGGAACTCAATGACTTACCACACACATCACAGATATAAACATTCGCCCCAGTGTGTGAATTCATGTGCAGCATCAGAGATTTCTTATAAGCATATGTCTTGCCACATATTTCACACTGGTTCAGTTTCTTGTCACTACTTCCTGTGTGGGTTTTCATGTGCTGCACAAGGGAATTCTTATATGCATAAGCTTTACTGCACACTTCACATTTGTTTATTTCCTTCTCAATCTTCACTGTGGGGTGGATGCTTCTCTTGTGGGCATAGAGACTATGTTTGTATCGGAAAGTCATGCCACATTGTTCACATTTGTAAGGTTTCTCTCCTGTGTGTGAGACCTGGTGTAGAAGCAGTGTTGACTTGTAAAGAAATGATTTCCCACAAATGACACAGTCATGTGTCTCAACTTTCTCCTTCACATCTAAGTGACTCAACTTCTTGTGCTCCACTAAATTCTTCTTGTTGAGATACTGTCTGTTACAAATATCGCATCTGTATGACTTCCGAGTCAAATGAATGGTGGCATGATTCTGCAGTTCAACCTCAGAATTGAAGTTCTTTCCACATGTGTCACAAGTGAATTCATGAGAGTGTTTCCTGTAATGAAGTTCCAGATGGTATTCATATGCTGTAGCATAATCACAAATGTTACAGAAAAACATCTTTTCCTGAGCATGGGACTCCTTGTGTTCAAACATATCCTGTGATGAACTGAATTTATTATTGCACACATCACAAGAAAAAGGAAGTATCTGTCTATGAGCTGCCATATGACCAGTAAGCAATTCATTTGTCTCAAAACACACACTGCAACTGCTGCACATATACTCCTGCCCTTTATCAGCCTCAATTTCTATCTTCACAGGAATATCTAAACATTGCTCATAGGAACAGTTATCAGATTGCATCATTTCATACAATTCTGATTCTGTAGCAGGAAATTCTTGAGTCTTGTGCATCTTCAGCTTTCTAGATGTCTTTCTCAGTGGTTTCATACGCCTAGGCAAGGATGTTTTCTTGTAAATTCTACTTTTCTTTGGGCCACCAGTTCTTCTGAGAGCTTCACCAATTCCTTCAGATGCATACCTAGAAAGAAGACAATTTAAAATGATCTTCTAAAAATCAACTTCAATAAGACACGTCACTTCCTAAGTAATTACACAGGCACAATGGTGCTGTGTTGGTAACACAAATTAAGTCTACATAGTTGATCCTATTGTGAGTAATCCCTGTTAGAGCAGATAAAAAATCCAACAGTGCTCATGCAACCAACATGTTACCCTACTTTCTGTATATAACAAAACTTGTGTGACAGCAGCATGTTTAGGATAACTTTGTAGTGCCAGCTAATAACACAATGCCAAAGGAGTAGTTACGTTCATTAAAGAAAGGCTTCATGTAGTAAGGAGCATAATTTGATAGATAAGATAGCCAAAAATGAAGAAACAGTATCCTGCCCAATATAAAGTAAAGAATTTCACAAGAAAATTGTGAGCATCTTAAAAATAATTCCCAAGAATTATGAATTATGGAAATAAATATGGGGAAAAAACAAAGGAATTAGAAAAAAGACAAACATTTGATCTTCAACCAGAAAGAAGTTAATATTTTGTACGTCAAGAATTAAAGGATTTATAACTTTCAAAATCATCTAGCATTATCTGATAACATTTGAATTTAAGTGAAGTGGTAAGTACTATCCATGCCATGTTAAAGTGCATTCTTAATTGCCACAACAAGGCACATTCTCAGGTAGTGGATGGAGAAGGAATTCAGATATGGAGGTCAGCTGTGAATATACTGAATAAACAATCACATCAAGCCCACAGCAGATGGTCCTCTGCTTGGGGTTGGGCAACAGCTCACAACTCTCAACAATTCTCCACCATAAAAGAACCAGGGCATTACAAAATGTTATGTAGGGTCTATGATATGGACAGATTCTTTTGAATGACCTAAGCAATGGAAAATGGAACTTGAAATGGCAGGTGTCTTTGTAGGTTAGGTTCTTTGAAAACAGTTTATAAAGATAATTAGAAAAATATAAATAAATTACATTTAGTGAGAGTACAAGAGGCTGGATAAGACAAGGGTGCACTGAACAAGCAGCTTATCAGCATTTAGGAATAGCTTTCTAGGGAACTACATCAGCAGGTAAGATGCTTTGGTTTGTTAATGACAGAACATCATATTAAATACTAAGAAGCTGTTGGTTTCATACTGTTCTGAATGTGGATGCACCAAGTGGCATCTGATGATAGATATGAGGACTCGCACTTACGAGAGCATTTAATCAATTCCCTAAGTAAAACTTGAACATGTTGTTATGAGTGATAGTGGGATTTCAGCAGTAAACTTTCCCATATCGAAACATCTAGGTGTCAAGAGTACAAAGTTCCCATGTTGTAAAATTCATAAAAATACTTAGCTTTGCCTGACTGGAAGATATAAATCAGAATGACCCTGTTTTGGCAGATAGAAGCAGTCTGATCTTTCAGAGAGAGACTGGCTATGACACTGTCTGCTATTTTGTTGTTACAAGATGCATGGAGAGGCTATAGGCAAGCAAGGAGCACACTCAATTCATATGCAGTGATTTGATTGCAGGATGCTAAATGACATAGAAGTTAGGCAAAGTGTCAGGTAAAAATTTCAAAACGTTTTACAGATTTGGTGATAATGGCAATTTGCTTGCAGATTCAATAAAAATTGTGAATAGGTGGAAAAAAA